GAGTTGGGGCCTAGTTTCTTTTCAAAGTGGTGTTATGCGCAACGATACGTGCGCGTTGAACGAACGTTGGATGAGCAACAAGCGAACAAAGAATCTGTGCTGATGAAAGTTATCATTGAAAGTTTTGTTTGTCTTTAAAATACATTCATTACAGATAATGCTGGTCAAATAGTGGGCACTACTTGATCAACAATGAATTGGCTATAATTCAATTAACCAACTATTTAATTTGATCATAATTGCTGTTTGCTTTAAATTACAATCTTAACAATCTATTCACTTTGGCCAGTTTTCTTAAATTCAAATATTAACAGTTTGTGTGGCAGAGAATTTGTTCAATATTCTTTTTTGCTCGGGACAAAAACTGAATTTCGAAAAAACGATGAAACAATTACCAATTGATACTGACGTGGATATTAACTTATTTCAAGATGAGTTACGAGATATCGATCGAGAATTCATTCTCAACATCGTTTCGATAGCCAAAATATCCAAATTCGGTCATCTATGTATGACCAACGATGCTACCTATGCTTATGGTGAAGCAATATGCAAATGGCTATCGTTACAACATGATCTCAAACTACCACAACAGATTCACATTTTGAAGGACAAGAAAATTATTCAAGTCGATTCGGGCAGTGATTTTGTTGCTATTCTAACTGATGATGGACAAGTGTATCTAGCAAGTGGTGATCCTAGATGGCAAACGAACAAAACTTTTCGATTGATTTCCACCGGTAATGTTCGATTTGAAATGATAGCATGTGGACGTCATCATTTGTTGTTGTTACAACAAGATGGTACGGTTTTCGCTGTGGGAAGTAATCGATATGGTGAATTAACCGGTTATTCAGAGTTATCGTATGATACTCTCTTCAATACTGGTTTGAAAAATGTCAAAATGATAGCTTGTGGAGAACAACACAATGTTGCTGCTACCAATACTAATCAAATTTATTCCTGGGGCTTGAATCACTTAGGACAGTTAGGTCTAGGCGATTTGAATTACCGACGTAGACCTTCACTGGTTTCATTTCCTGATGGTTCGACTGATAGTCCAATCAAAAATATTGTGGCCGGTGCAAGTCATTCTTTATTTTTATTGGAGGATGGTCAAATTTTTGGATGTGGTTATGGTCAATGCCCTATCAATGATAATGAACAAGATGCAAAAGTGCCGACAAAAATTCCCATTGAAAATGTGCAAAGTATGGCTTGTAAGAATCGTCACCTTATTTCATATGCTTTGGATCATTCATCACATTATTATCAATGGGGTAAATTAAACAAAAAATTAGTCCCTCTTGAAAAATTGGATGGTCAACTGAAATCATTTGCAGCAGCATCAGCAATAGTAAATAAATCACCAATCA